TAAGCCGGTTGAGAGGAGAAACCATCAACTTAGAACCGTGTACCCAGCAAAACTACTTTTCAAGCATGAAGGTGAAGTAAGACATTTCCAGATAAAAAAAAAAAAAAAACTGTAGTTGACCACTAAAATATCTGCACTAAAGGAACGTCTACATCAAGGGTTCATAGCCATCTAGGGAAGTCTGGGGAGTCCATCTCAGAATAAAGCTTTTGAATGTGTAGAATGAAATAGATAGGATTACAGAGGAAACCAGTTGGTTTGAAATCATTTAAAATCAAAATATGTTAAAAATGTGTTATAATAATACATATGCTGCTTTATTAACTCATTAAATAACAAAGTCCAGTTGCTGATTTTGAGTAAACTTCAGAGTAAACAGCCCTGGTGGAAGGCTGCATCGCACAGGGCAGAGCCAGGACGAATGAGTTTGGTACCAAGCATATATGAAGTAATTTGCGTCAAAGAAACACTCACTTCAGAACAGACTGTGTTGTATTTTACTTGGATTTTCTTTTGACTCATGGGTTATTTGGAATATCCTAAAGCATTTGACTGTTTTCTTCTTTTTTCTTTCACGGGGCTATGTTTCCCATCAATATCTAGTTTTGCTCCTATACAATGAGAGAATGAAAGCTACAGAATTCTTTTCTATCGTGGAGGAAGTAGGTGAGAAGGAGAGTGGCTTGCTTTCCTTGTGGACGTTTTGAGTTTGATGTATTGATGAAGCCTCCAGCAGGAAGTGGAGAAAGTCAGGACTGCAGATGGGGGTGAATGGTTGGGAGAGAGAATGGTGGGTTAGGGCTTGTTCTGAGAGAAGGAGGCAGAAGCCATGGAGGGGGTGTGGATGGGAAGGCATGTATGTCTCCCAGAAGGGAGCTGAGATGGACACAGAAGGCTGAGGGTTTGCATAATGGAGTCAGCCCTGCCATGTGGCGCCAGGGAGACCCAGACACAGAAAACCACCCTGTGGAGAAAAAAAAAGTGGGTTGGTGTTCTTTTAACAACTTGCAGGTGCTCAAAAAGTTAAGCCTCTCTTTCTGAGCAATATCATGACTTTCACATTCTTTTTTGGCTTTTCTTTCATAGCTACTTAATTACATGTTACTCTTCTCTGACCCTCTTCAATTTCTTCATATTCTTGTGTAAACTGTGGACTTTGAATAATGATACTGGCAAATTAAATAGGACAAAGGTTTCATAAGATGCAGTAATTTCACGGCTAACTAGCTCCATGACCCTGTCCCTCACCAAAGTGGTACAAAATAAACCTGCAGAATTACTGAGGTGGCAGAACATGCAACATAATTCTCACTGGTAGCTGGAATTGAGAAAAAAAAATAGTTCAAACTAAGACCCGGTCATTTCTGAGCAAGTCTATTCTCCTTTCTTCTCTGGTGCCCAGTGGACCAGAGGAGGCCTCTTCTGGTTTTCTGGTGTTCCGGTTTTCTAGATCGAGGGGTAGGGAAGTCTGCTTCTTCTGGGGAGACATGGGGAGAGAGTTGACATTTGAAGACAAGAATACAATATTCCACTCTTAATTATTAGTATTAGTGTACTAATAAGCTCGGGTGGCCATAATGAAATACCATAGACTCAGTGGTTTGACCGATAGGAATTTATTTTCTCATAGTTCTGGAGGTTGGAAGTTTGAGATCAGAGTTGGGTTCTGGTGAGGACCCCCTTCCTGTCTTTCAGGCTGTCAAAACCTCACTGTGTCCTCATGTGGCCTTTCCATGGTGTGCACATGTGGGGAGAGAGACAGAGAGATGGAGAGAGATCTTTCTCATCCTGTCAGGCCACCATCCCATCATGAGGGCCCTACCCTTACAACCTAATCTAACTCTAATTACCTCCTAAAGGTCTTACCCCCAAATACCATCACACTGGGGGTTAGGATTTGGGTCTGGACACAAACATTTAGTCTACAATAAATAGTTTTCTACTGCTGTGTCGCAAAGTACCACAGACTTTAAAGCTTAACACAACACCATTCAGAGTTTTCTTAGGTCAGGAGTCTGGACATGGCCTAGCTGAGTCAACTGGCCAGGGTCTTACAAGGCTGCAAAGTGTTCCTGGGGCAACATCTTTGTGTCACTGAGTAGGATCACAGGAGTGATAACCCATCATATTGATAATCAAGGGAAGGGCTTTAGACAAGGCCATGGGTCATCAGGGATTATTTTAGGATTTGCATGCCACACTGAGTTCGATGGTTTTATTTTTTTTTTCCTTTGTGTTGGGGAATTGGATCCATCTGTAATTACAGTTATTAATGATATTTAGGAATGTAACATTTTCTTCAGTAAAGCCAACTGTCCATATTATTGGAGGTAAAATTATTTGAGGGGATTCATGGAATGATAACTGTAGGATGGAGGCAAGGAAAATTAAGAATTTTTACTATAGCCTAATTTAAGTGATATTAACTAACTTCCTTTGTGTTTTTAAATGCCTGCTCTCTGAAGGTTTGTGGGTTTCCAGTAATATTTCTGTTACAAGCAACTTGGTCACTGTAGACATTTGACAGTTTTATAAACTTCAGCTTAGAAGAAAAGATCAAGGAGTTCTGTCTGAGCTCATTAAACATGCCTCGAGAGGTCTGGTGGTAGTTTAGGGATTTAGTGGGGCCCCATGTACTCATGAATTCATAGGCCCTTCCTGAATGAGAAGGCATTGGGCCATGTCTTGAAGAACAGGTAAAATTTTTTATGGTAGAAGTGGGAAGTGGAAGGCAGAGTATAAATGGACATATTCTGGGAGGTGTACCTTCCCATCCTCTGTCCAGGCTTTATTTGGGTTAGGCTGGTGTTGGCATCAAGGGAAAACAGAGGACACTCTTTGGAAGTCATATCCTAAGGAGATGGCAGAGTCAGAGCCAGCTGGGCTGGGGACATCTCCAGAATTTGGATTTGAGTGATCAGGAGGAGGGGTGCCATTATGGGAGGAGAGATGACAAGAGGGAGAGTGGGTTGGGTATAGAAGGGAAGAGAGAGGTTATAGACATTGTGGATGAAGAACGAGGGACTGGGGCACAGAGAGACACAGGAGAACAGTAGTCAAGGATTTCCATACAGGTTGCAGCTGGGTGGCATCATGAAGAGAGATTTGGGATATGGGAAAGCGTTCGTAAATACTATTTGTCAATATTGACTGTGTTTGCGAGATGTGTGCATTGAAGAAAGAATATGTATGTGACATGCTTGGGAGCAGAGCCCTGTTGAGCTCTCTTTGGTTCATTTTGTTTCTTGTGTGTGTGTGTGTGTGTGTGTGTGTGTGTATGAATGAGGTTCAGAAGTCTTTTACACGAACCTCTGGTCCACGTGTGTTGGGAAATCCACCTGAGACTAACATGATGTACGGGTTGTTAGAGACTATTGGGTCTAAGTCTGCAGAAGTGTTTGAGGGTTAACTGGAGTCTGTTGCCAGGGGGGCCTTGGGAGTCTGTTCAGTAGGATACTCTCCTCCCAGGCCTGGGCAAGTCCTTTTGGAATCCCAGGGGAAATGAACCAAAGCGCTCCAGCCCAGGACCTGACAGCCTGGCCCGTGTGCACAGCAGAAAGTTGGGGTGATTTATCTTTACAGCAGACCTCATATGAAAATACCTTACTTATTATAGTGGGGCCTCCCAGAATATTGCCCTGGAGAAGGACAGCTGCAGCCTCCTCCTCTGTGTGTCTGGTTGGATGCTGGGGGTGAGAGAGATGGGACCATCTCGGATCTGGATTTGAGTGACCGGGAGGAGGGGTGCCATTGTAGGAGGCAGAGATGATGAGAGAGAGACTGGGTTGGGGAGGTAGAGACCGCAGGTGCATTTTGGGACATGTTGAGGTGGAGAGTGACACCAGGGGCGGTGCCCAGTGGACTGTGTGAATCAGCACGTGTTAGATCTGAATGATAGATGGATCTCCAGTGGAGCCACTGGGTGGAGGAGCCAAAGGTCTGAGGAGAGGTCTTGGGGCGCGGGAAGGGAAGGGTGAGGTGGGAGGACATCTGGGGAGTGACGCAAAGCCGAGTGGAGAGGGGGCCTCCCACAGGAGGATGTGGTTAACCTCAGGTCTTCAAACTGATCACTGCACTTGTGTGTTGCACTCAGCGACCCCTCCGGTGACCTTGGGAAGTGTGTGTGCAAGTGGTGAGGGCCAAAGCCACATTGTAGTGGGGAGGGAGCAGCTGTGTCTCCCTGATCTGTCGGCCCTGCCTGGACCCAAGGAGACTGGGAATGTCTGGATCAGTGGCCAGAGTGTGCCTCAGGGATTGTGGGCCAGGACCTGAGGGGTGGTTCTCCTGAGACAGAAGACACAAGGGTCATGGGGTTAGGGCAACAAGGAAGAGCCGGGGGAGGGGGGGTGGCTGCTAGAAGAGGTCCTGGAAGGGCCATGCTCAGTGGGACCTGGGGCCCCAGAGGCCAGGGGCCGGCCTGGGAAAGGAGCCAGCAGCTCAGTGTCAGTGTGTGGGAAGCTGGGGGCCTCATCTGGTGGCACCGCCTCCTGGGGACATGGGAAGCTGGCTGGGGGACCAAGTGTGGGAAAGGAGTGGGGGGGGCCTGCCAGGTCGGCCATGCCCAACACCCATGCGCAGAAGGCAGGTGGCCAGGTGACCTGCAAGGGGGGAGCTCCGCTTTTCCCCAAAGTAGTGTTTGTAGTCCTCTCTGTGATTTTTAAGTCACACAACCAAATAACTCACGGGACCAGAGTGGAGGGAGTGCCCAGTGGAGGCTCTTTCAGCAGGTGCATCTGTTCCTGGGCCCGTGCATGCAGAGCATAAGTGACCTCACAGGAGCTCCTGGTGGTCTCGGAGGCCTGCGTGCTGTCCATAGCGCTGCAGGCTGTGAGCATCTGGGCGCATAACAAGCCTCATTGTGTGTCCCACCCTCCCCAGCTCATGCATGTGGGCCGGATTCTAGAAGTAGTCCTTTTTCAAGGTGAGACGGCAGGACCATGTTGATTGTCCGTTAAAGGTTTCCAAAGAGTCTTACCTTCCCGCACCATTTGTCCTTGCAGGTGCTGCTCTCGGGGCTCATCGGTGTGGTCTCCTGGAAGAGGCCTCTCTCCCTTGTGGTAAGTCTGCACCTGTCCCCACGGCCGCCTGGGAGCAGGGTCCCTGTGGGGGTGTGAGTGCTTTAAAGGTGCTGGCAGAGAGAATTCTGGCTTCTTTGCAGAAAGCGGGCCACAGACCTTTATAGAAGCGGAACCTCCCAGTGCAGAAGGGCTCATAGGTAACAACCACTGAGCATCCTACCTTCTCCGCTTCGGAGAGTGCCCGTTGGAGATGCTCATGTAGCGTCCTCTTCCTTTGTTCTGTTTGGGTGCTGTCCTCTGTGGACGTGCTGGGAACAAAGACATTTTAGTAAGTATAGGTGCTAGGCGCGAAACACGAGCACACAAGCAGCACCTACTTCATCAGAGTTCAAGAAAGGTTAGCTGCGTGTGTGTTTTGGGGACTGAAACTCGGAGTTTCAGAGGAGGATGTTTTTTGAATAGAAGAGCACAGGGATGCCGCTGGAACCCCTTCTCCCATTGCCGTGGCCCCGTGCCAGGGAGGAGCAGGCCACATGGGAGATGGAAAAGAGAGGATAGTTTTCCCATTGGGAAAGTACCCGAGCAGATTCATGTCTATTGATTTGTATGCGTGTTTTTCTCAGTGTGTGCATTAATATATTTATGTGTCCATGTCAGGGCCAGACGAAGAGGTTTTCTGGGTTTTGATGGATAATGAAAAAAAAACATGGTGTGGCTTTTCTTCTCTTTTGTAGGCATCAATTATTTAAAGATCTCTTCTTTAAGTGATTAGGTTTGGAGATAATGACATGTACTAAATATTAATGGGAGTAGAAAAATCCCACAAATCTGCCTGTTGTAAACACTTCCTCCTCATGAGAGTAACCACAGCATCCTGAGGAGGCATCGGGAAGAGAGTGGCATTAATTCAGTGAGCCTCTTCTCCTATGACTTGTCGAGAAATTTCCTTTGCCAAAAAAAAAAAAAAGTTTTTTTTATGTAGAAAGTTTCCAACACGCACAGAAGTCAAGAGAGACGCTAGTATAATGAATCCCCGTAGACCCTCCATCTGTCTTCTGCAAATATCAACATTGGCCTGTCTTGTTTGATCTAAGCCCCTTGCTGGAGTATTTTAAAGGAAATCACAACTAGTGTGTCAAGAAGCTGACTCCTTTGTGCAGAGGGAAATGGTGGTGGACACGCCAGCTGTGGGGCCGATGTCCTTTGGCTGTGCTTTTGGGTTCCCTTTGGGGACATGGGGCCAGCCTGTTCCATTCCTCCTCATCTGCCCTCATGGTATAGGCCAAGGAAGGCCTCTGATGCTGGCTGCCAAACAAGGAAAAGCCACAACTCCTTTGGGTGGGTGTGTGGTGAAAAGATGAGAGGAATGGCGTCCGTGATCCCCCAGCCGCTCTTCATGCCCACCTGCAGTCCTGGTCCCAGGATGGAGATTCTCGTAGCGCTGGGCATTTTACTGTGAAGGAGGCTAAGCAGCTTCTAGCTGACAAGGAGTCAGGACTCCTTGTGGACTTGGCTCAGGTGTGTCCTGGGGAAGTCAGAGCAGTAGGATGGGGTGTTCTAGGGCCTCACCCTAGAAAGAGGGATAAAGCACCAGCTGGAGCTGCTATAGCAGTACGTTCGGAGTGTCTGCTCCCTAGTCCCCGTCCATCGGTGTGGGACCGGCCACTCTCTAGGCAGTGGTGAGCATTTTCTCCCATTGATTTATTTCTGCCCAAGCCCCAGGTAGAAGAGAAGGGGTTCCCCAAGCTCGGCTGACCACTTTCCTTACTTAGGGAGGTAAGGGGATGGGTTAGGATAACCCTAGGTGCTGTAATAAACCCCAGACTTTCAGTGACTTAACACGACATGAGGTAAGAACCCAAAAGCACAGCCAAAGGACATGATTTTTCTAGAGTGGGCACTCCAGGCAATGGGCTGCTCCCCATCATAGGAGGTCCAGAGACTCTGGTTGCTTCCTTCTAGAAGGGGCTCTACAGTTCCCTAGGCCTGTGGAGTCCATTGTATTTCAATGGAAGGGGAAAGGCAATGGGGATGGGTCTAAAGGTGACCCTCATCACTCACACATCAAACCATTGGGGAGAGCCTGTCATGTGGCCCTGTTGGGCTGGGAAGGAAGCTGAAAAAGTTAGTCCCTTCCTGGACAGGCACTTCCCAGGGGAAGTTCCATACTATGAAGAGGTGGGCAGGAATTTTGGTGGACAGTTGTTCATCTCTACCATAAGAACATTCTTTTGTGTTGACCAGGATGATACAGTCTTTTTTCTTTATTTAAATTCAATTAGCCAACATAGAATACATCATTAGTTTCAGATGTGGTGTTTAATAACGTATCAGTTGTGACAGTGCAGCCTTTTGATTTGTTAGTAAAAACTCACTCTCTAGACTCAGCTAGAATGGCTTGAAGTCTTGGCTTAAATAATTCTTTTATCCCAAGCTCTTGCTTCTATCCTCTACCTTAGTGTTAGTGTTTCCTTCTTCCTGGATGTAGAAAACTGAAGGAATCACTGTGACTATTCTGGTTCATTTCCAGGGGACTCACCACAGCCCCCTGTCCCCACGAAGGACCCCTCCCCTGCCAGAGTGAGTTGCTCTCTCTGAAGGAAAGTGTCTGTCCCTTGGGGTGGTTGAAAGAGGCAGTGTTGGGCCCTGCTGATCCAGGGCCTGCACGGCCATGCCCGACGCCCTGCAGGGGGCTGGTGGGTGAGGACAGCCATGCGTGGGCATGCTGAAGGCAGGGTTTTGGTGCTGTCACTGGCCTGTTGACAATATCTTTCCTCTGGAGGCCTGGTGCGTGGGGGCCTGTCCTAGTCTCTGCTACATCTCCTTTCTTTTCATCAGTCCGATCTTGTAAGACAGAATGGGATGAGGAGGGGTATACATTTTGCCTAGAGTGATTGATATGTTGGAGGGGAGCCTCTGTTAGGAAAAAGCAAGGGAGGGGGGCAGCATGATGTCTGAGAAGACGGGGAGGGAGATTGCCCCTTCCAGACTGGTGAATGTGATGCCAGAGGGAGGAGGAGGAGAAAAATACTGTGACTTTTTTGCCCTGCTATTTTATAAGAGCCTTTCATAATGCTGGAAAGTGGTGATAGCTATTTCAGTGGAGAATAGGTATTTTTGCATTACTGTGGTTCTTTTTTTCTTTTTTTATTGAAGTGTAATTAATCTATACTTGTATTAGTTATATAGTTTCAGATATATTGTTATATTAATTTATAATTGTTATATAATATAATATTAGTTCCAGATGTATAATAGAGTGATTCAACAGCTGTGTACATTATTCAGTGCTCATCATGGTAAGTGTGGTCTTAGTCCCCATTACCTGTTTCAGCCACCCCCGCCACCTCCCCTCTGCTAACCACCAGTTCTCTATATTTAAGAGTCTTGTTTTTTTTGTCTCTTTTTCCCCTTTGTTTGCTCATTTGTTTTGTTTCTTAAATTCCACATGAGTGAAATCATATGGCATTTGTCTTTCTCAGTCTGACTTACTTCACTTAGCATTATATGCTCAAGGTCCATTCATGTTGTTGCAAATGGCAAGATCTCAGCCTTTTTCATGGCCGAGTAATAGTCCTTTGTGCATATATACAACTTTTTCTTTATCCATTCATCTGTGGATGGACATTTGGGTAGCTTCCATAGCTTGGCTATTGTAAATAATGCTGCAATAAACATCGGATGCATATGTCTTTTCCTTTGGGTAAATACCCAGTGGTGGAGTTATTGGATCATATGGTAACTCTATTTTTAATTTTTTAAGGAGCATCCATACTGTTTTCCACAGTGGTTGCACCAATTTACATTCCTACCAACAGTGCAAAAGGGTTCCTTTTTCTCTACATCCTCCCCAACACTTGTTATCTCTTGTCTTTTTGATTCTAGCCATTCTGATGGGTGTAAAGTGATATCTCATTGTGATTTTGGTTTGCATTTCCCTGATGATTAGTGATGTTTAGCATCTTTTCACATGTCTGTTGGTCGTCTGTATATCTTCTTTGGAAAAATTCTATTCTCTGGTCCTCTGCCTATTTTTAAATCAGATTATTTGGTTTTATGGAATTGTATATATAAGTTTTTTATATATTTTGAATATTAACCCCTTATCAGATATATCATTTGCAAATATCTTCTCCCATTCAGTAGGTTGCCTTGTCATTTTGTTGATTTCCTTCAGTATGCAAAAGCTTTTCATTTTGATGTAGTCCCAATAAAAATTGGACAATTTTGCTTTTGTTTCCATGGCCTGGGGACACATATCTAGAAAAATGTTTCTGTGGCTGATGGCAAAGAAATTACTATGATTTCTTCAAGAAGTTTTATGGTCTCAGGTCTCGCAGTTAGGTCTTTAATCCATTTTGAGTTTATTTTTGTGTATGGATAAGAAAGTAGTCCAGTTTCATTCTTTAGTATGTAGCTGTTCAGTTTTCCCAGCATTATTTGTTGAAGAAGCTGTCTTTTCCCTGTTGTATGTTCTTACCTCCTTTGTCACAAATTAATTGGCCATATAATCATGGGTTTATTTCTGGGCTCTCTATTCTGTTCCATTGATCTATGTGTCTATTTTTATGCCATACTATACTTTACTTTTGATTACTACAGCTATGTAGTATATCTTGAAATCTGGGATTGTGATACCTCAGCTTTGTTCTTCTTTCTCAGGATTCCTTTGGCCATTTGGAGTCTTTTGGGGTTCTATACAAATTATAGGATTATTTGTTGTAGGTCTGTGAAAATGTTCTTGGTATTCTGTTAGAGATTGCTTCAAATCTGTAGATTGCTTTGGGTAGTCTGGACATTTTGACAATATTGGTTTTTCTCATCCATGAGCATGGAGTAACTTCCCATTTGTGTCATCTTTAATTTCTTTCATCAGTGTTTTATAGTTTTCAGAGTAGAGGTCTTTCACCTCCTTGGTTATGGTATTTTATTATTTTTGGTGCAGTTGTAAATGGGCTTGTTTTCTTAATTTCTCTTTCTGCTACTTCATTATTGCTATATAGAAATGCATCATATTTCTGTATATTGAATTTGTATTC